CATTGACTCTGGTTCTAGTCTTTGGGCATCTGTTGTGTCCAGTACTGACAAGGAAGATGCCAGTGTCATTGGCGTACCAGGCAACCACAGGCTTCCTCTGCCTTTTGGTCTCAGCCTCGCTGTAGGTCCAGGACTTTCCCAGGGCTGCACCACATATGACCCCTGTGATGGAGCGAGCCTCTGAACTGCTCTGTCTGTTGACACTGCATTCAGATGCTCCCCTTCCCGGGGTGGAGATGGAGCTGGTATCAAAATCAGTGTGGGGGACTTTGGCACCAGGGTCGTCTTTGGCTGTGACGAGTTTGCTCTACTCACTTCTGGACGGCGCTCTTCCTGGAGGTTCTAGGGATTAGCTCAGTCAGGCCGATGCCCATTCTAGCAGTTACATCCATCAGTTTGTTTTCTGAAGACACACTCTTCCTCCTCCCTTCTCCCTTTTCCCAAGCAGTGACTGCAGACTTCTCCCTGCGCCCCTTCTGCTTCCAATTTCCTGTGCTTTGTAGAAGCCCCATCTGTCCTTCGCAGGTGAGCTTCTCTCCAATTAGCTGCCTCCATCTTAAAGCTCCTGTGTTTGCAGCCTAATTGGCTGAGTGGGCCCATCTGACCTAATTCAACTCTTGCACCCCATCACATTGGAACATCCCATCACGTCAGCACAGCCACATTCGATGCTGAAAGTGCTCCCATGGCGGCTCTTACCACCTTTGATGTCAGTGAATTTGGGCACTCCAGTACCACTGTTTCTACCAGGACTGATGCTGCCCATGGTATGGGGTGCAACAGCAGTGCCCGCAGCATTCCTTTATGCAACTTTTCTCCCCTGAAACAACGGGACTTACCCTATAAAGCGAGTTAGATCCCACCAAGAGGAAGCAGTTGGGCTTGAGCTTCGGACAGTGCTCACACCCTCCCTCGGCCCAGGCCAAGCACCCATTTTAACTCCTTTGTCCAGAGCATTGGTTCAGTCGTTATTCCAACCCCTCCAGGCCCCCATCCCTTTGGGGACAAGCAGGCCCACTTTTACAATGCTTGGAACTGGATTACTTCCGACAGCTGCGCCCTAGACACTGTCAGATTGGGCTACGCAGTCCAGTTAGTCTCCATGCCCCCTTTCCACCTCCCTTCTCCATCCGTCTTCTGGGACCCCCCTCACAAGACACTGCTCATTGATCAGGTCAACTCTCTATTGAAGTTGGAAGCAGTAGAGGAGGTTACACCAGAATACCAGGGCCATGGCTTTTACTCCCAGTACTACCTGATACCAAAATCCAAGGGCAGGATGAGACCTATTCTTGACCTTTGCCAACCTCAACAAATTCATCAAGTACATGATATTTCACATGGTCACTCTATCAGCTATCTTCCCCACGTTGTCTCAGAATGACTGGTTTGCTGCCCTGGACCTTCAGGACTTTCATATGGCCATTCTACAGAGCCACAGGAAGTTTATGTATTTTGTGATAGGAGAACGCCGCTTTCAGTATATGGTTCTCCCATTCGGCCTCTCTTCTGCCCCCGAGTCTTCACCAAATTCATGGTGGTGGTCATGGCATATCTCAGAAGGAAGGGAATCCACATCATCCTGTACCTTGATGACTCCAGAGTGGAGGTTCTCGCCCACATTGACACCACGTTGCATTTTCTCAACCGTCTGGGACTCATTTTAAACACAGTAAAGTCTTATTCACTGGGGCTCTGTTAGACTACACGAGGTAGAGGGTGTTCTGCTGACCAACCACTTCCAGGCTATTCAACAGCTCTGCCTCAGTCTTCAATTTCAGCTGTACATGACAATTTGCATGTGTCTGAGTGTGTTGGGCCATGTGTCCTCTTGCACGCAGGTGGTCCAGTTCACCATCTTGCACCCCCTTCAGATGTGGCTTAGGACAATTTACTATCCTGCCCTGCATGATAGTTGGACAGGTTGGTTTGCCTCCCTCCACCAGTTCTACATTTCCTACACTGGTGGGAATCCCCATGCAATGCATGCCTTCTCCGACCAAGTCAGTGGTACCAACGCTTCCCTTCTGGGTTGAAGGGCACATCTGGATTTGTTGCGGGTGCAAAGCCTGTGGTTGAAACAGGAAGCCTCACTCCATATCAGTGTATTGGAACTTTGGGCCATCCATAATGCATGTTGTACCTTCTCAGACTGCATCCGTATCAGATACGCAGTGGTTCACATTCTCACTGACAGTACCACTGTGATGTACTATGTGAACAAGCAAGGAAGGGCACGTTCCAGGTTACGCTGCCTGGAGGCAATCAACTCCTGGCAATTTTGCATCGAAGAAGACATCACTCTAGTAGCAGTCTATTTGCTGGGGATGGAAAATTGTCTTGTGGACCATCTCAGCAGGGTTTTTTCTTGGACCCATGAATGGTCCCTGAAGGAGAGTGTTCTCTGGATCGTCTTTCCAATGTGAGCCATCTCTACAATCAACCTGTTTGTGATGAGGGAAAACAGGGAATGTCGACTATTCTGCCCTCAAGGGAGCCTCAGCCCAGGCTCCCTCCCTGATGTCTTCCACTGCTGCTGGCAGACAGCTCCTCTGTATGCCGTCCCCCCTGCCATTCCGATCATTCAACAGGTCATCTTCAAGCTCAATGAGGATTGGGCCAAGGTCATCCTCATTGCTCCAGTGTGGCCGAGACAGTGCTCAACAGTAGGAAGTTCTCCATTAGGATGGCGTACTTAGCGAAATGGAAGAGATTCTCAGTTTGGTCCTTGACCCATGTGACCCAATCCACAGTGGCTTCCATCCAGGACATCTTGGAGTACCTGTTACATCTTCAGAAATTGGGCCTTGCACTCAGTTCACTGAGAGTGCATTTGGCAGTGGTAGCAGCATTCCATCCCCTGGTTCAAAGGAAATCAGTTTTTTCTAATGCCATGGTGACAAGATTTCTGAAGGGGACTCTCCACTTACATCCTCCGGTCCGAGAACTGGTTCCTTTGTGAGACCTAAACACAGGCAGCTCTAATTGGCCCTCCATTCGAGCCCTTTGTGTCCCATCTGCTGCCCCTCCTTTCTCAGAAAATCATGTTCCTGATAGCCATCACTTTGGCCAGAACGATATGTGAGTTGCAGGCCCTCATAGATGAGCTGCCCTACACTCAGTTCTTCAAGGATAAGGTAACACTGCGACCATACCGAAAGTCTTTATCCCAGGGCATCTCTCAGTTTCATCTGAATCAGGCAGTGTATTTACCTGTCTTTTTCCCTAAGGATCACTCTTCCCCAGAAGAACAGCACCTTCTTACTGTGGATGTCAAGCAATGCCTAGCCTTTTATCTAGACAGGACTAAACTGTTTTGTGTTTTGCCTTGCCGGTTTATGTCATATGCGGACTGCATGAAGGGGCAAGCGGTCTCTGCACAGACCATCTGAAGATGGATAACATCCTGAGTCAAGGCTGCATATGAGATACCTTCAGCTGCTCCTCCTCAGTGCATATGGACTTACTTCATGTGAGCACAAGCAACATCAATAGCATTCCTCAATGACATTTCCATACTGGACATCTGCAGGGCAGCCACGTGGTCGTCCAGACATACGTTTACAGACCACTATGCTATTACCACATCTTCCAGAGTGGATGCAGGCCTCGGAAGGATCCCTATTTCAGTAGACTCCAAGCCCTGCCTCCACATTGGGGTACTGCTTGTGAGTCACTAAGTGGAATACTCATCTGCATCTACGCGAAGAAGAAGAAACCGTTACTGTAACTGTGGTTCTTTGAGATGTGATACAGACATATATTCCACAACACACCCTCCTTCCCCTCTATATCGGAGTCTCCTCTCATCAGCTTTCGGTCTGCAGGAACTGAAGTGGGGTCGGGGTGGCACTGTCTCATGTAGCCAGGGGAGGGGCCACAGCCACAAGGCCTGAGTACCATCCCCCTACGGGTACTGCTCAGCAACATTTTCTGGCTCCAGTGCACTGGGCGTGCTCACACCTAAGGTGGAATACACGTCTGCATCACATCTCGAAGAACCACAGTTGCCATACGTAACAGGTTCATTCTGTCCCTGTGAAGTGTTATATACTTAAAGTAATTCCAATTTGTTCAATGTCCTATATAATAAGTATGCTAGTGGTCTCAGTCTGTATCCTGGTGTCCAACTGTTTGTGTCACCAAACTATTATCGTGGTTGCCACAAATTGATAATCTTAACAGAGATGCTGAATCAACCCAAGGATGGAATTACACATTCGTTATCCAAAACAGGGTTGATTGAGGTTGTGTGCCTTCCGTAAGTACAGTGTGAGCAATAGCAAGTAAAGAATTTGATAAGTAAGGAATTTCAGTCTCTAGTACACTTTTCCCAAGCACTAAATTAACTTAAAAATGTAAGTTACAGAAAGAAAACAAAAGCCTATATTCTGGTTAAACTACCTGAGATTTTAATTATATCAAGTTATGTTAACCTGCTTTATGTTACAAATCCTAAACTAAAGATATACAGTGCATAAATCCCAATCTTGGGATGTAGGCCCCAATTATACTGGAAGAGCAGAAGAGGAGCCTCAAATGAGAGAGTGCTGGAACAAAGTTCAGGTTTGCATATGATTTGCAAACAAGGTAACTTCTGTGTAAAACAATGGAGTGCAGGGAAGGCACTGATATATAAAATTACTCATTTGCCATTCATGATTCCTATAGGTGACATATAGGTATTGAGTATATTTAATGACTGCTAGTTATAAAAGGTAATTGAACTTATACCTTAGAAAATTCTGTTGCCTTTTTTGTACTTTCTGCTGCATTAGTTTACTTCCTGTGCCTGAATTCATATCGTCATAGTGCCAAAATGGTAATTTCCTTTCTCTTTATTCATTATTCATTTTATTATACAGTAGATAGGACACAGTTTGAAAGCTGTTTGGCTTTATAATAATGTCAGTATTAAATCTTCATTGCAGCTGTTTTTTAATTTGCTTTTGTTATACATTATATTGTGGGTGTTAATTTTTAAAAATTTTTGTTTTAAGAATTTGGAAGAGAACATAAAAAAATTAATTCGAGATGAAAGAGGAACATGGCAACTGACTCAGGTAAACAAGACATTACCACATTGATTTCATGTATAAACTCCTTTTACATATATTTTTGTTTTAACATTGTAAATCTTTCTGTAATAAAACACTTTTTTTTTTTAACCAACTTGGATTGCAGACAAATAGTTCTTTCCCTAGCTGTTGACATATGCTCTTTGGAAAATTGGCAGGATCTGATTATGGATAAACAGTTTGAATTAAAATAACCATATCTAATTTTGGAAACTACTGTGAATTTCTGACTCTTTTTTTAAAGGCATGGTTATCTTTGTCGTAAACGGTATTGGTTTGCTTTGCAATAATGATTTTCTTCTTCACTTTGGTTTCTTCCTTTTTAGCTTGCTTGTCTAAACCAAAGAGCAACGGTTATAGTGATAAAGTTCCCCATCAGTAAAGAATTTGACTCCTGACATGAATTTCCAATACTTGAATTACCCATTCTCTAGATGTCTTCACTAGGACTAGGAAGAGCTTAAATACTTTAATTTCTTCATCTGCTTTAATGTAATACTTTGTTTACAGTGTGGTAGCCATGTTGAGAGAGATAAGGGAGGTGATGTAATATCTATTATTGGACCAACTTCTGTTGATGGAAGGTACAAGCTACCAAGAGCTGTTCTTGAGGTCTGGAGAAGGAAATCTGTGTGTCTGAACTAAATAGAAACTGGGACAGCTTGTTAATCATAAGGGATAATGCATTTTATAGGTGGCCACTTGAAAATAGAGTGGGCAATAAGGGTTCGATTGTATGCAAAAGGGGTTTGGAATGGGCCATTAAGGGTTAGCAGGCAGTGTGGTGTGTTACAAATTGTTGTAATGAGCCGTAATCCCACTGTCTTTGTTGAATCCATGCTTTATGTGTCTAGCCGTGTTATGAATGTAAATTCCCAGGCTCGCCTTTTGAACGTGTTATGCAGGTTTACACTGAGGCCAGGTATTGAAACATCAGATATGGAGTGATCATTTTGTGAAAACTGTTTGCCCACGGGTGATATGGTATTTTTGTCTTTTATCATTTTTCCATGTGAATTCATTTGAGAGAGTAGTGATTGTCCAGTTTCACCCACATAGTTGTTATTGGGGCATTTGATGCACTGTATGAGGTACACCACATAGTGTGACAGGCATTTGTAGGATCCATTAATCTGGAAGGTGTGTTATGGGGGGAATTGATCACCATAGCAGTGAAGATATGTTTGCAAGTTTTGCATTTGTTGTTCTGGCAGGATCTGGTGCTGCTTTGAGTTCGTGTGTCTTGGGCTGTGGGGATCTTGCCTTGATGAGCTTGGCAAGGTTGTGGGATTGTTTAAAGGCCAGAAAGGGGGTGGGGGGGGGTTGAGAAAAATTTCTTTCAGGATGTCAAATACATTTGATGATACCAATATGGGTTCCAGTTTGGGGGGGTGGGTGATAATTAGCGATGTGCTGTCAGGGGGCGTTTTTTTTTTTCTGTGATGAAGCAGCTTTTCTTGTGGTATTTCGGTGACCCTTTCTAGTTCTCTGGTGGAATGTCCTTGTATAGTGACAGCTGTTTTAAGTATGTCTAGGAATGTATGCCTGACTATATTTTCAGTGCAAATTCTGTGCTATCTGAGTGCCTGACTGTAGATAACATATTTTTTGTGTCTGGGGTGGTTGCTGGATCTGTGGATGTAAGAGTGGTGATCCGAGGGTTTCTTTCATATAGTAATTTGTAGGAATCCACTGCTGAAGCTAATTGTGATGTCCGGGAAGTTGATGCTGGTGTGGCAGTGTTCTAGAGAGAGTTTGATGGATGAGTGGTGGTTGTTGAAGTTGTGGTGGAAATCTATGAGGGAGTTTAAGTTGTCTGTCCAAAGGATAAAAATACCCTTGATGTATCTCAGATATAATATTGGTCTCATGATGCAGTTGTCCAGAAATTTTTCCTTGAGGTGACCCATGAAGAGGTTGGCTATCGTAGTACTCATGGCTGTTACCATGCTATGGACAAAGTGTTTGTTGTTAAATGTGAAATTGTTGTGGTTGAGGATGAAATGGATGCATTTGGCATTGTGTTTTGAGTGGATTTCTGAGTATTTTACACTATCTTGTAGGTATTTGAGGCAGGCAGCGATACCATCATGGTGAAGGATGTTGGTGTATAGGGAGGTGACAAGGATGGTGTCATGGGGGAGGCTGTTAGAGTTGAAGAGTATCTGGAAGAAGTTGGTAGTGTCTTGGAGGGGAATAGTTTGAGCATGGTTTCTGTGGGTCTTGATATTCCTTCAATAAGAGTGCATCTGCCTGGGTTCCCTTGTTTGTGTGTCTTGGGAAGCATGTAGAAGGTCCCTAGGGTGCGTTTGTGGAGGACGAGTTTGTAGAGGGTTTTTTTTTTTTAGTTGTTTGAGGAAGGATTTGATGGTATTTTTAAATTCCTGTGTGAATTGTGGTGTGTGGTGGTTTTTTAGTTTTTTGTAGTAGGTGGTGTCAGAGAGTGGTCTGTAGGCCTTGTTGACATAGTCATCACAATTAAAGACTACGATAGTGCCTGCATTGTCTGCTGGTTTGATCACTATCTAGTGGTTGGATTTCAGGGTCTGTATAGCTGTCCTCTTAGTGGTAGAGAGATTGTGGTGGATATAATGTTTGTTGAGCATTTTACAGTCAGTTTTTTTCCTGAAGCAGTCAATGTAATGATCCAGTGTGTGGTTTCATCCTCTGCGCAATGTCCAGTCAGATGATACTTTTTTCTTATGGCTGTCCATGGGGAGGTGATAGTTGTGGGTGGTATCTTCTTTTCTGTGAGGTGGAATTGATGGAGGAATTCTTCTAGTTCTTCACATGATTGTATGTTATCAGGTTCTGTGGTGGGGCAGAATTTCAGTCCCTTGGAGAGTACAGATGCTTCAGTTTTGGTTAAGAGTAGTCTTGATAGGTTGATGACGTTGGGATATCATCATGTGTCGATGTGCTGGGTCTTGGTGTGTTGGTTTCTACAAGAGGTGGTGTTCTATTGGTTGTGCAGTTGCTGTAGTTGGTTTCACTTTTTTGCATGTGTTGGATGGTTGGCATCAGGTATTTTAGATAGTTGTTTTGGGTTTGCTGCATGATCTCCAGGTAGGCTTCCTGATATTCTTTCTTCCAGTGTGTGGGAGAATGTGGTGATTTCTTGTTGGAGGTGGTCTCTTCTGAAGCATATATGGTGCAGGAGATGGTTCCTCAGTTTTTCTGGGGTCCTTTTCCAGAGCTGCTCAGCATATTTGGAGTTGTAAGTAGTGATCAGAGAGGTGTAGAGGTGCCCCAATAACAACTATGTGGGTGAAACCAGACATTCACTACGATTGTCTGGTTTGAATGAACTCTCACAGGGAAAAATGATGAAAGACAAAAACACCATATCACCCATCTGCAAACACTTTTCACAAGTTGATCATTCCATATCTGATCTTTCAATACTCAACCTCAAAGGAAACCTGCACAACACTTTCAAAAAGCGAGCTTGGGAACTTAAATTCATAGTGCTGCTAGACACCAAAAATCAGTGTGACTGAATAGAGACACTGGTTTCATGGCTCACTACAACAAACACCTGCATGCTAACCCACTTCAAACCTCTTTTTCAGAATAGTCTAACCCTTATTGCCCCCTCCATTTCCAGTGGCTTCCTACAACAGGCATTACCACTTATGCTTAGCAATCTGTCTCAATGTGTATTTAGCTCAGACACTGATTTCTTTCTCCAGACCTGAAGAGATCTTTGTAGTTCAAAAACTTGTACCTTCCACCCACAAAAGTTGGTCCAATAACAGTTATTACATTACCTACCTTATCTGTTTAATATAATACTGACATTTTGTATTTTTTTTTCCTGTTCAGTCCCTTCACTGTGTTTGTCAATTCTACTGGCTACTCTTCCTTCCCTATTTCATGCAGTGTTGATGACATATTCTGGCTCAGTGGCTAACTTTGCTCTCATTCTATAGATATTCCTAATATCACTGAGCTGTACTTGTTAACCCCGATTTTGTAAATACACATATCATTAATTTGTGGTTCTGTACATAGCATTTTGTTAATGGTATGAATGGCCTTTCAAATTTGGAATTTTTTAAATAGATTGTTCTTCTTTTGCTTCTGATTTTAATAAACGATAATTAGTTTCATGTCTTTTTAACAGGCCAGGATTAAAGCAATGTATGGTGAGCTAGAGCAAAAGAAAAAAGATAGCATCAAGACAAAAGAAGAAACTATAAAGAGGATAGCAGACATCGAGGGACCAGTGGCTGAACTAGAAGCACAATTTATTGAAAATAAAAATATACATAAAGAAAATATTGAGGTAATATTTCTTAACTTACTTTTCCAGACAGTAATTTAGAATGCAGTTTAAAACACTTGTGGTTAATTTTGGTGTGTTTACTAATAAACTTACTGGTATTATTGGAAAAAATACCAGTAAAGTAGGAAAATCAGAGTTAAGGATAAACTTCAATTCTTATGTTTTGTAGTTATGCCTTGGGATAATATTTCATATACCTCATTCAGTGACTGTATATACTGTAACATACAGCAGTTAAAAATACTTAACTTTCAATTCGGGTCTTAATTGGTAACCCTTCTTCATCTCTCATAACTTTTATGTTGTCTATTTTAGTTATCACAAAAGCGAAGAACATATAGCACTGGCTTAGTATGTCTCCTGTACGTTTCTGCTTAGCTGTAAGTTCCAGACCTGGACAGAAGGCAACCAGCCTTTCATCTGCTGCTGGCTTGGCATGCTCTCCTCTTTTCAGCCTTATGGAAAGAGCAACTGAACAAGAAATCCCTCTCTCCAGGGAGATCTACCTTGGGTGTGAGGGAGAGGAAGGGGGAGATTTGTGCCAGGTGTAAACCTTTTACAGGACCTTAACTCAGGATCCCCAACCCCATTTGTCCTGGGTTTTTTGTATAGGTCACCCTTCTCCAGGCTCTATTTTCCTTGCCAGTTATTTGCCTTTGTCTTTTGGAAGGTCTTTCCCATATTCCCAATCTGCTGCCCTTTATCTCACTCCCCTCTTATTATCCTTGGAGGGGAGATTGACTAGCCAACCTGCTTCCCCTTCATCAGCTGTTCAGTGGTGTCTGGCTACTTTCTATATATCGGAAGGTGCAATGTCAGTGAGATGGGACATTTCTCTCTTTCTGCCCTACAGGAAAATTGTCAGAAAAGCAAACTGCTTCTGTGTCCAGAAATTCTAACAAAAAGGGTCCGTTGGCCTGCACATGCGAGTAGATTTTCCTGTGCTCCTGACTGAGGGTGTAAGAGACAGTCCAAGCAGATGCCTCTCCAGTTCCTTCTTACTGCCACATAGCCAGAGTCAGAATCCCTGTGTTCACAGATCTCTCCATTTTTTCCCCTCTTGATAGATTTGTAAATAGTTTTTATACATCATAGCTTTTATATTAGTAGATTTAGAGTTTTATAGTCTAGATAGTATAGCTTGTTTTTCCCCCATACAGGGGACTCCCTCCTCGCTAGAATGGCTATACTGAGTATGCTTAATCAGTGCAAACTGGAAAGAATAGGGCAGACGATCCCCAAAACTTCACCAAGCCAGTAACAAAACATTCTTCTTCGAGTGCTGTTCCTGTGGGTGCTCCACTTCAAGTGTCAGTGCATCACGGTGCCGTTGATCAGAGATTTTTGGTAGCAGTATCTGGTCGGGGTGTGTGTGTGTGTGCAATAGCAGTCTCGCAGCATTGCTGGTGCCTCATCTGGTAGGTGCACTCTCATAGTCGCAAGGATAGATCCCTATCTAGGACTGTCCACAAGAGATGCGATCTCTCCCCTAGCTATTGAGAGCAGGTGAGCCTTCATGTACGAATCCTAAGGGACTGGCACTGCTGAAGATCCTCAGGCTGAAGGGTAAACTGAGCAAGAAGAAAGATCTGTCAGTTCCGTCGGTGACTCTGGCTTCAAAACGCAAGAACTGTCATCTGCTGGCTCCATCTAGGAGTGTGGGTCCGGACTCATTGCCAGTACCGGCTCACTTATCCAAGGACTGCATTACCTCCCCAAACATGCCAGAACCATTGGTATTGACAGTTGGAACCCCCGGACACTGGGATTTATAGAGATATATACAACACTGGAGAATATCTTTCTCCTTTCTCCCATCCTTTCTGGTCTGGCCTTCCTGAGGGACATTTCTACACCAGAGTGTGTACTACTTCTTCGGTGTCTCAAAAACTGTCTCATCTCCAACTATCAGGTAGGAGTGCTCCAGTACTGATGGTCCCACCATTGGAAGGGGAGCAGTTTTCTGATTCGGACAAGTCAGACTTTCCAGCTGCTTCTCCATCTTCTCAGAGAAAGCCAAGCCCCGACAGGCAGTTGAGGAGATCTGGGCGCTACCCATCTAGATATGATTTCCCCAGGGACCTCTGGGATCCGATCCCAGGAAGTCTCTCACAAATGGCTGATCCCTCTTTCTTGCCTTCTTGTGACCAATAGGATCCTTATGGCAGACAGCCAGAACCCACCCAGGAATCTTACCACATTTCTTCTTCTTGGCTCCCACTTGATCTGTTGAAGTATGAGGAGGAGGACATTGACCTAGATCAGCAGGTCAGGAATCTCATCCTCATCTCCAGACAAAGCAGTCACTCCTTCCTCTCCATCTCTACCAGATGATCATAGGCAGTGCTAGGAACTGCTGCAGAGGATTGCCAATGATCTCCAGATACTGTTGAAGGAGGTCCAGGACCAAAAAAACCACCGACTTCTGGATGTTTTGCAACCTGCAGGCCCACGTAAGGTGGTGGTGTTTCCAGTTACTGAGGCCATCATAGAGCCCTCTAGATTGGTCATGCAGGCAGGTGCTATAAGGAGGGCTTTTGGGATCACTGGGAGGCATTCATGAACAGAGGATTCTTCTCGTGGAATGGACTCCACCTGAATAGGGAGGGCAATAGACTTCTGGGATGGAGGTTGGCACAACTTATTAAAAGAACTTTAAACTAGGAACTCGGGTGACATGGTTAGGAGATGCTCATGTAATCTCCATGCCTGATTCTAACATTGACTGGGAGGAAAATCAAGTAATGGAGCAGGGAGCAATGGAGCAGTGTATAGGAGAATGGACATTAAGAGAGAAGATTGTGCCTATATCAATTAAGCAAATAATCAGGTAGGTGATACTGGCAGGAGAATGACTGTACTCAAGTGGGTGAGGAATCTGGGCAAAGCTAAGCAGAAACTACTAAGATGTCTGTACACCGATGCAAGAAGCCCGGGTAACAAAATGGAGGAGCTAGAACTACTGGTGCAGGAAGTGAAATCAGATATTATAGTGATAACAGAAACATGATGGAATAGTAGTCATGACTGGAGTACAGGCATTGAAGGGTATGTGCTGTTCAGGAAAGACAGAAATAGAGGTAAAAATGGTGGAGTAGTATGATTTATTAATGATAAAGTAGACTGTAAAGAAATTAGAAGTGATGGAATGGATAAGACAGTGTCTGTTTGGGCCAAAATAACTTTGGAGAAGAAAGCTACTAGAGGTTCCCCTGGGATAGTGCTTGAGGTATGCTACAGACCCCCCAGGCTCCAGGATAGAGACCTCCTTAATGTTTTAATGAAATAAATATTACTTAGAATTGTTGTGATTATGGGAGACTTTAACTTCACAGATATAGATTGGAGGACAAGTGCTACTAATAATAGTAGGGCCCAGATTTTCCTGGATGTGATAGCTGACAGATTTATTCACCAAATAGTTGCTGAACCAACAAGAGTTGATGCCATTTTAGATTTGGTGTTGGTGAGTAGTGAGGACCCCATAGAAGAACTAGTTGTAGGGGACAATATTGAATTGTGTGATCATGAAGTAATTCAGTTTAAATTAAATGGAAGGATAAACAAAAATAGATCTGCAACTAGGGCCTTTGATTTCAAAAGGGCAAATTTTAAAAATTTAAATAAATTAGTTAGGGAAGTGGACTGGACTGAAGAACTCAAGGATCTGAATATGGAGGAGTCTTAGAATTATTTTAAATCAAGTTGCAGAAACTATCTGAAGCCTGCATCCCAAGCAAGAAAATAAAAATGTATAGGGAACGGCTGCAGACCCAGCTGGATGAGCAGGCTTCTCAAACAGGTGATTATGAGAAAACAGCCTACAAGGAATGGAAGATTGGATGGATCAGCAAGGAAAGCTACTTCTTGGAGGTCAGAAAATATAGGGATAAAGTGAGAATTGCTAAAAGCCAAGCAGAATTGGACCTTGCAAAAGAGATTAAAACCAATACTAAAAAGTTCCTATAGCCATATAAGTAAAAAGAAAACAAGAAAAGAAGAAGTGGGACCATGAGCACCGAGGATGGGATGGAGATTAAAGATAATCTAGACATGGCCCAACACATAAACGTACACTTTGTCTCAGTTTTTAATAAGGCTAATGAAAATCTTAGGGGTAGTGGCAGGGCTGCTAATAGGAACGAGGATATGGGAATGAAAATTACCACATCTGAGTTGGAAGTCAAACTCTAACAGCTTAATAGGACCAAATTGGAGAGCACGGATAGGCTACTTGCAAGAATATTAAAGGAGGTGACACATGAAATTGCAAGCCCAATAGCAAGGATTTTTAATGAATTTGTAAATTGTAAATCTGTATCCTATGACTGGAGACTTGCTAGTATAGTTCCCATTTTCAAGAAAGGGGAAAAAACGTGATCCGGCAGACTACAGGCCTGTTAGTTTTACCTCAATTGTATGCAAGGTCTTGGAACAAGTTTTGAAAGATAAAGTAGTTAAGGAAATACAAGTAAATGGTAGTTGGGATAAAATATAACATAGTTTTACAGAAGATAAATTGTGCCAGACCCAACCTGATCTTCTTTGAGAAGATAACTGGTTTTTTTAGACAAAGGAAATGCAGATTTCAGTAAGGCATTTGTTAAAGTGTCACATGGGAAATTATTAGTTAAATTGGAGAAGATGGGGATTAATATGAGAATTGAAAGGTGGACAAAGAAGTGGTTAAAGGGGAGACTACAATGGGTCATACTGAAAAGTGAACTGACAGGCTGGAGGGAGGTTACTAGTGGAGATCCTCAGGAATCGGTCTTGGGACCAATCATATTTAACATTAATAAAAATGACTTTGGCACAAAAAAGTGGGAGTGTTCTAATAAAATTTGCAGATGACACAAAGTTAGGAGGTATTGCCAGTGCAGCGGAGTACCGGAATATCATATAAGAAGGTCTTGATGAACTTGAAAACTGGAGTAATAGAAATGGGATGAAATTTAATAATGCAAAGCGCAAGGTCATGGCCTTGGGGACTAACAAGA